GGTGTCAAAGAACTTATAAATTGATAAGAAACACGTGGACCCAGTGGGGATCGTACCCACGACCCGTGGATTAGTAGTGGATAACGCTAACATATAATTTGAGCGCCTTAATTTCGACCGAATTCAATTAAACTTAGAAGATAGACATATAATGTCGCGGACATTTATTTTAGATCATTTAAAAATGGAATCATTCTTACATACATATTTTAATGATTCGTCGAACCTGTCTATAGTTTACGCGAGTAGTACACATTTAAATAAAACACTTTAACGGTTTAAAACGGTCGGGCCGAAGTTAAAAATCATTTTCAAATAAGTTTAACCAATATATCGCGTTTTAAACCGTTAAAGTGTTTTATTTAAATTCGTCGAACCGTTTTCGCAGCGTAGGAAACAGAAGTTGTCAAAGATGAATAATTTTCCTATTTTCTGTTTTCGTGTCATTGGTATCGCTGATATCTATAGCCTAAAGCTTTCCTCAAAAATGGTCTAGAAAAAAAAAAAACAACCAGTAGTTTGAGGTTAAGCGTTCAAAACAATTCAGCTTAAATATTAGTACATATTTAAAACACTTCAACGGTTCAAAACGCGACATATATTACTTACACGTGACTAGCTGTTGCCTCTGGCCGTAGTTCAAATAATGTTCGAATAGGTTTAACCAATGTTAATCGCGTTTTAAACCGTTAAAGTGTTTTATTTAAACCGCGCCTCGTTTGAAGTCAGTGAAAATGACGCGAATGAGAACTCGTTTAAAAGTGAAAGTGTTATCTTAATACATTTCATTTAGTCTCATAACTTGGTTAATATCTTAATGGCGTATGTCTATCACTCTAGCACCCTAGCTCTCACCGGTTCGATGCCCGCTCGAAGAGAATTGACAAATTCTTTGTATTCAAATTCTTTTGTTTAAGATAGAGACAGGCATATACCATCTAAGCAAGATGCGCAATCGACCGATTTTGGCTTTGGATATTCGGAAACCCACAGAGTACTAACAAACAGGGTTCATTTGATAGTACACGTTACAACGTCACTGTCGCACGGAGGAACAAGTAACCAAATAAAAGATATTACGGCTTAAACCCAGCACGCTGGTCCAGTGCGGGTAGACATTTTTTACAACTACCGCCACTAAATTATTGGTCGTAAACGAGATCGACGACTGTATGATGTCGGAGGCGGTTTTGACTCCTACTCTCTACCTCCGGGCTACAAAACAAACTTACATGATCCGGGAATCGAACTCATGTGATCTGTACTCCAGTGCAACAATAGACCAGCAGCTTTTCTATCAACGCTGAAAACTGGAGGTCATCTTAAAATAAAACACTTTAACGGTTTTAAACCGCGAAATTATAAGTTGAACTTATTTACAAATATTTTAACTACTGCTCGGCCGTTTAGGATGCTTAGCATCAGCCGCGGTCACATTAAGTCTATAATGAGTTTAACTAATATATTTCGCGTTTTAAACCGTTGTCTTTAGTTTACGCGAGTAGTACACATTGAAATAAAACACTTTAACGGATTAAAACGCGATATATATGAGTTAAATTTTTAAAATCTTTAATTAATTTATATTACGCGTTTTAAACCGTTAAAGTGTTTCATCTAAAATTCAACCGATGTTTTATTTACATGTGAACGTCATCTGCACATTATTCAGAGAATTTAATTTCGATGTAATCTAATATTGCAAATCTAGAATAAGGAATCCATCTTATAAACACACGAGCGTTACGTAACCACTACAAGTAATTAAGTAAACATTGTATTTTACATTACGCGCATCTGTTGGTGGGGGGGAGGGGGGTAATCTATGCAAGGTAGCGTTTTGACAGACTAGTTGGTGCATTGGAAGGAATCAACATGTCGTGGATTCGATCCCCACCAAATTTAACATGTTTCTGATCAGTATATAATTCTTCTCAAATCACACATTGGAATTCGTCTGGAAATCTGGACATTAAATGGATAGTACAAACTCACACAACTTCACTATCAAATGAACCACGCTTGTCTATCCTCTAAAATCAACATTTATAGATACTTTAATACTATTAAATAAAACACTTTAACTGTATAAAACGCGATATATTAGTTAAACTTATTTGACAAATGATTTTTAACTTCGGCCCGACGTTTCGGATGCTTTGCAGCAGCCGTGGTCACGGGGAGACTACATATCGCGTTTTAAACCGTTAAAGTGATTTTTATAAATGTGTACTACTCGTGTAAACTATAGACAGTACTTTAATACTTCTTCTTTAGTAATTATCTACAAATGGAAAATATCCAAGATGGCCGCTTTCGGTCGCCATCTTTGAAAAAACCAAAAACTTGTCTAATGGCGCTAATCTTTAGAGTACACAAATGACAGATAAATACAATATAGATGCGCTAGATTGCTTTCACTCGAAACAAAAACAAGATTAATATTCAATTTAAAACCGAACAATGTCTCTCTATACCCTGTCTAACGTAGGATGATAAAAACGGCAATATTTTTCACATGATGGCATCATATGAATTTAAAATGATAAAAAATACGACAATTTTGTGATAGAGCGGAACAGACAAGCAGTTCATTTGATAGGTATATGTAGCATAAATCACGAGCATTTCTGAGTTCGATTCCCGAAAAAACGTGATAGTTGTATTGGGTATAGCTCAACAGTATAGACAAATTTTGTCCGAATAATCAAAGTTATTTACGAGTAGTACACGTACAAATTAAAATATGACGGTTTAAAATGCGAAATATATTGGTTAACTTATTTAATTAGAACTTAAAAAAGGTAACTATATAATATGTATCACGTGTAAAAGCGTTTTATTAAAATTTGTTCTCCTTATTGCACACTAAAACTTTATTAAACAATTTGTTTAATTTTATGTATAATATTTCGAATCATCGTTTATCAGCCATTGATTAACTTCTAGAAGAAAGAATTTAAGGAATTAATGGAAGTTTCGTACGGAAATTCGTGGGTTTTAAAGCTAGAACAATGAAACTTTCTTCTTTGACTTTTTGGGAATATTAATGGGAGTGGGAGTGAGAGTAAAAGTTTGAGAGTAGAAGTGTTGTGAGGTGAGAGTGTTGCGGCAAAGTAGCACTTACAACATAGGCTGCCTTAAATGCGCCTTTAAATAAATTAACAGCCTAAATAATTAAAAATTATACCCCAAGTCACTATTCCACGCGAACGAAGTCGCGGCCACAGCTAGTTCTAAATAAAACATAGTCTATCAACGTCTGACATAAAACGTTAGTACATACTGTGTATAATATTTATGGTTATGAAGAATTATTTCCCGTTTCTCATTTTCCGTATAATCTTGACATCATAATTGCAAAGGTTTATTATCTATAGGTATGCTAACACCATTTTGGCTGAACCGTTTTGACGTAACGCATAAACACACAAAACAATATTTATCATTTAGATCATTGTTGACGCAAATATAGCGATAACTGTAACTCATAAGATGGTTTGTAGAAGTCAAAATAAGTTATAATCTTTAAAAAAAATATTTAAATTTGAATTTAAGTTATGTGTGACAACAATTTAAATAATATTTTTTTGTCTCTCTAGGTATATATACTAAATTCTAATGACGGAGCGACTTAACTGATTATGATGAAATTCTGTAAAGCCGTCAGAAAACTCGAAATATATAATGAAAAATTTAATATCAGTCTCCCCTTGACCGTGGCGGCTGCAAAGCATCCAAAACATCGGGCTGTACTTAAAACAATTTCAAAGGGAATAACTAATACATATCGCGTTTTAAACGGTTAAAATTTTTTATTTAAATGTGTACTATTCGCGTAAACTATAGACTGTATCTAACTTGAAATAGTCTAAAAACGCTCGAAAAAAACAACTCGAATATAAATATTTACTAATCAACGTAATCAATACAGTAACTGAACTGATAAAACGCAGGTAAAACCACTGAACGTAGCTAGTATAATAATGATAAAAGATGGCGCCACTAAGACCATTTTTCAATAACATAATACGAAGTAAGTCATTTACAGTACTTAATGCTATAGTATCGACCTTCACTTAGTTGATAAAAAACAAGTTATATTATAAAGTAGACATTTTGTATGTTTGTTTATTTTTCGACACCTCGTAACGAATGTAAAAAAAATTAACAAAAAAACAAAGAATAGAACAAAAAAAATATATTGATAGGTAGTTGATTAGTATACGCATAATAGATTTAAATCATTGTTTTATCTTAAACGAAATTAACATACACGAGTACCTCTGTCTACAATCCACGCGAATAGTACAGATTTAAATAAAACACTTTTAACGGTTTAAAACGCGAAATTAGCATAGACAATGCAATTGAAATAAGCTGACTTATACAAAGTTACATTTATACTTTGAACCCGTCAAATATTTGTATTTGTGTAACCCATTTCTTGTATCCACAGTTTTATAAAAGCACAAATAAAAAAGATAATGATAAATTATCTCAGTGAACAGATAGCGTTACACTACAATGAAGCAATTTCGTCTATAACTCTATACTCAATAGTAAAATGGACAGCCCAGCGCAGCGATCTAATTTTAGACGGTCTAAATTTGTAATGATTGTGAACTAAGCGATAATTACAAACTTAACGGAAACATTTTAAATATTTAATATGACCATCATTGCATAACACGTATTCAAACGCAATAATTAAAGTATCGATACTTCTCGATTATCGATACAGGTGCATCACTAGCACGCACACAAACAATGACAAATTAACAATTTTCTCCATTTAAACACGGACACGTCACTATTAAAATAAACGCAGCGTTTACCAACAATAGCAGATTTGGACTTAATCAGTTTTTTTAGATTTTAGGTTATATTAATAAATTACAAATGCTTCGAGAACAATGGCTGAGTCTTGTTGTCATGTCAATTTGTAATAACTTATGAATATTAATGATTGTAATATTTGAGCTAATTGAGCCAATTACCTTGTACGACGGTTTATCCATTCTCGGCAATCCACTAGCACTAAATCACATTTTATTCCGTCGAACGGGGAAAAAATTAACACCGCATCGTCCACAATTGCAAAACAGTCGCTATTTATACCACACAAAAATTTTATACGCGCACTTTTCACTGACTGCACACGATTATTATATAAAACACAAGATTAGTTGTAATGAGTTAGCTTAGAATTATTCACTGCGTCACCATTTTGTGACAACCTCCTTGGAGTTATCGGTTATAAAAACAATATGGCGTTTAAAAATAATAATTCGAATTTCGAATGCGTATACATTTTTAAGAACGTAACGCGGCCAGCTCGTTCGACGGCGTAACCGCTTCTGTGTGTTTGTACGTATTGCTTACTCGCTCACACACGAACGTCGTAGGGCTGATGTTTAAATTTAATTGTTAGTAATTATCTTTATTATTGCTATTTCACTTCAACTGTGTCTTCATAATATAATAACGAAGCATAGGTTATGTAAATAAGCAATTCAGGAGATATAACGAGAAAAATATTACAAAAAAGCGTTTTTAACGGTTTAAAAGTCGATAATTTAACTTAATTTTAATTTGCGAATGTTGCCACGGCCGCGAAATAAGGCAGGTTGGGCCGTAGTTTTAAGTTAACTTAAATATTTCGCGTTTTCGCGAAATTTTTGTCATAATTTTAATTTACAACCTAACAACGGCTGCTGTCTAAAGCATCTAAAACTTTTAGCCGTACTTAAAATACGTTAAGTAATTTAATTCGCGTTTTAAACCGTTGATTTTTTTTTCTTTACGTGTACTTAGCTTGTATATAGTAGCTATAATACAACGCTTTAGAAATTATTAGAGCAACAATTATTAAAAATTACGTAAGTCTATTAAAAATCCCATGTCATATCTTAATCTTATAGAAGTCATTCACTTTTAACGTGATTATTTTCGTTATAAGATTATCGCGTTTATCATAACGTTACATAACACAAATCCATGATCGATAAAAGATTTAGGTTGATACAAAATATTTTTTTTTAATTTAGAAAAAACTATTAAAAACTAAATTAGGTATATTTCTCACACAGCCAAATATTATGCAGTTAGAACAAAAAAAAAACACGTCGTTAACTAGTATAGCTTTATATTCTTATGAAATTAAGTAATTAATTAAATCTTTATATATTATCACACAAATGAGATAAGATTGCGTATTTAAGTATAAAAAGATAATTACTTGTCTAAAGTCATTAGCGAAAGGAGCCTTATCTAAATCTAAAAAAAATTAAACGACTTAGACCAGATAAAAAACTATTTAACAGTTTAAAATGCGATATATATTAGTTAAACTGATTTTCAACTTCGGCCCGACGTTTCCCAGTCACCCCGTGACCACGGCTGCTGCAAAGCATCCGAAACAACAGCCGCGAGCAGCCGTTGCCATGGATCCTATAAACAAGTTGAATTAATATATTTCACGTTTTAAACCGTAAGTCTCCGTTAACGGTCGGTTAACTGTAATCGAGGCTTTATGGTGAAATTGTTTTTAAGTTGCATTAAATATATTATCGTTAACCGTTGTTTAAAATTAAGATAATAATTCACCCTTTCCACAATCGGTTGAATATTTAAAAGCGAGGTTGACATCCTTGGCACTTCCACATTGAAACTCAGACGTTTGCTCTATAAAGGCGTGTACACAAGAATTTTAATTTCTCGTTTGTTCCAGTTTTTAATATTAAACTAAACTGTCTGTGGTTAACGCGAATACTGCACATGTAAATGAATCACATTAACGATTTTAAACGTGAAATATATTTATTTAATTTGTTTATAGGACTCACGCAACGTTGGGCTTTAGTTTTAAATAAAAAAATCTGTAAGTTTAACTAATACATTTCGGGTTTTAAACCGTTAAACGGTTTTATTAAGATACTAGACTAAGCAATCAACGTCTATTGTTTATTAAAAAAACAAAATTATTATTAAAACGGACGCAAGCTTTTTCTCCATAATAGCAGCATATAGTATAATCTATACTTCCGTTTTTCATTGTATGTAATTAGATTTACTTTCTTAATAATGACCATTTCACATAGTGTACCAGGCCACAAAGATTTCTGTAACAGACTGATAATAGGAGCGATTTTAAATAAAACACCTTAATTATTAAACTTATTTAAAAAGTGCTTTCTAATTTGAGCCCGACTTTTCGGATGCTTTGCAGTAGCCGCGGTCACGGGGAAATGGGGGACTAATATCGCGTTTTAAACCGTTAAAGTGTTTTATTGAAATATGTACCACGCGCGTAAACTTTAGACAGTATTTAATAGGAGCAGTTATTTTTATATTTAAACAACTGCCTTGGAGATTGCCTAAATATTTTTTTTACTACTCGCTACTATTAGATGACAACGTCAAACTCCTGCTAGACATCAGTAAGTAATTATTAAATATTATCATCTAGTGTGTACCCGCCCTATGCATTCAAGTAGATAACCCACACACACACAATTGCAGTAACTATGGTTTCGGCTGATTACAAACGACTCAAATTTATATTTAACCGACTTAGGAGAAAAGAGTATTGTTATTATAAGCGTATTAGCAGTATTGATAATCTTGTATACCGTATTTTATATCTTTAGGGTCAGAATAGACCGTTATTTGTTTTCTTGACCCAGAATAAATAAAAAATAAAGAAAAAAATTACATAACCTAAAAATTTCTATCAATCCAACTAATGACATCAACAATAAACATTACTCCAAATAATATAAATCCTATTCGTAATTAAAACGGTTTAAAATGTTTTATTTAAATTGATCTTAGAAACATGAAGGCAATTTCTTTATTAGGTATGTATTGTCTATGATTTCCGTAAAGTAGCTTTCATTGCAATAAAACAATTTAAAGTGATTAAAACACGCAATAATACTTTGCTCTTATGTATATTTCGAGTTTAAAACCGATAAAAGTGTTTAGTTGTGTTAGTTTATTTAAAAAAGTTGTTTAGAAACACCAATTAATATATTGTTATTGAAAAGTTTCTACTATTATATCTATAATATACTTTAATAACACTCGGTAACTTGATTACCTTGTTTATCTATATTAATATTATAAAGCTGACGAGTTTGTTTGTTTGAACGCCCTTATCTCAGGAACTACTGGTTCGTATTTAAGTTATTGGTAAATGTGGAAAAACAGGAAAAATTATTCATTTTTGTAGGTTTCAGGCGCGTGCGCAGCGAAAACGATTTAAGATACCCAAAAAAACATGTACAATAGAATATGCTTTTTTAAACGATCTGAAAAAATGTCCGCGATGTCTACCTTTTTTAAGATTCACTTGCAAGGACGACGGGACGCAAACGACGTCGTGTATAACTGCTAAAATTTATAAAACTGAGGTTTATAAAAGCAAATTTCGATGCCCAAAATTACTATTTCACCCGGCCAAAGCCGCGGCAACAGCTAGTTTAGAAAAACACAACTATATTCTTTGTTTTGTCAGCATTGTGAAAAAAACAGGTAGTGTGCGTACACACACTCACACAACGGCAGGACGGTTTCAAGTAAACTCGAGAACATGTTTATTTAAATGTCGACCTTATAATGTTGCATTATGGTGTCTTTTCCATTGCGTACCGTCTCCTATGACATAAAAAATAGGACAACCTTTGATTTTTTTCAACAACATCGTCTAACAGATGTGTCATATTGTTATCGATGTAAATAATTAATAGGGCCCTAGCGAAAATCGACGACTTATTACAATTAATATAGCTATACAGTACGTTCATCAAATACTAATCTATAGTTTACGCGAGTAGTACACATTTAAATAAAACATTTTAACGGTTTAAAACGCGATATATTAGTTAAACTTATTTGAAAATGATTTTTAACTTCGGCCCGACGTTTCGGATGCTTTGCAACAGCCGTGGTCAGGGGAAAACGTTGAGCAATGATTAAAATAAGTTTATTTAATATGTATCGCGTTTTAAACAGTTAAAGTGTTTTATTTAAATGTGTACAACTCGCGTAAACTACAAACAGTGTTTGATAGCGATTTTAAATTATTTTTTAAAAATAGATATCATTTATTATTTGTGAAATAATTATATAATTTATTTTATTAACGATGTAAGATTTATTTTTAGTGAAATTTTAAAAGATTTAAAAAAAAGAATGATTATATTTTAATATGACTGATAAAAACTACATTTCGATTATTTTACAAGAAAAGATAAGATTGGCTGGGTTTTAAACAACTATATTGTAAAGCTTTTAGATAACAAAAAATCTGGAATGTAATCTTTAATTCCAGTGTGTACGCAGCCCTATATAGCCCTAATAGCAATTTAAACAAAATGGATATGACACAGCGTGCTGTTACACTACACGATTTTGTTTTTTTTTCATTATTTTTTACGCATGTTTTTAAAATGTATAATAATGATGTGACTTCTCGTCTACGACGTCTGTTTACGTAGACAGACACAATTATGTGTCCGTCACTGATCAATTAAAAGGCAAACAAGTAGTTCAGTACAGTCTGTAGGGGACGCGAGTAGTAATGATTTAAATAAAACACTTTTAACCGCTTAAAACGTGAAATATATTAGTTAGTTTATTGTGTCGGGCCATAGATAAAATAGATTTTTAATAAAAAAAGTAATATATTTCGCGTTTTAAACCGTTGAAAGTGTTTTATCTAAATGAAAAACTTTATAACTATATAACGAGTTAAAAATAGTGTTTGTTTTAAACAGAAGATTAAATATTTTCGATAAAATAATCTTCTTATTATTTATAATCTGCGTTTTATCTAGTAATAATCAAATAAGTCTAATCAATAATAATTTATTTTCGCAGATAACTTATGTACGTCAATTAATGTATATGACAGACTAGCTGTGTCCAGCGACTTTGTCCGCGAGAATCGTTATTTTGTGCATCCACATTCGTTTTTGCAAACCCTTACTATTTGATGTACTTTGCACACACGTCG